GAGGTAGCACGTGCTCAGTTTGTGGTAACTACTGGTTCCTTTAGCAACACTGCTCAGATATGACTTCACCTTCATTGCCAGGGCCCTTTGTGTGCTACAGGACAGCAGTGGGACAGTAGCAAGGCTCCAAAACAGTTCAGCTCTGTACGCTTCTGTGGCTCAAGAGCTTGCAGGCCTGCCCTGTGTTTATCTGCAGAAAACAGGGCAGTGCCAGAGAGGAGCCAAGGGTGTTCCCTTCAGAACATGACCCAGGGAGCTTTTCCCTGGGCCTGGCTCAAAATATGCTTAGTAATGGCCTGGTGGTGGTGGTGGTGGTGGTGGGTGGGGGTTGTTTTACTGGTGGGTCATCTTCATTTCCTCAGGAGAAAAGCTGGGGGTATATTTTGCTGTGTTTTGCTAGATGAGTGTGGCTGGTCCCTTGTGTGTCTGCTGAAGCTTGCCAGTCTGTGCGTGGCCCCTGTGTCTCTCTCAGAAGTCTCACCCCCTCATCTCCAGCCACACCAGCTTGGCCCAGAAATGCAGCCTGTGTTCCACAGAGGTGTTTGGGCAAAAGAAAGCACTCAGACTTTCTGTTTCTTGTTTTCAGTCAGGCTGTGGGGTCTGCCTCTGTTGCTGTCACCCACAAGGTCTTCCCCGGTAGCCCCTGCATGCATGAGGGGGAATCAGATAGGAACAGGGGTGAAGGGCCCGTGAGGCTCAGCCCCCACCTCCTTCTGTAGCAGACATGTCTGCAGTTGAGGGTGTGGGTGGGGAGAGCAAGGGGTGTCTCCAGGGAGGGATGTGTTAACTCCTTCTCTCCTAGTGACAGTGTGAGTTGGGGGATTACCCCATTTTATGGGTGACGAGCACTCTCTGGGGGATCAGCAAGCTAGTCAAATGCCCTTTCTCTGCACCATCTTGTCTCGGGGGCCAGAACAGGACGATGGCTATAAAGGCTGTACCCCACCCTATTTATATGTTGAAATCCTTCCTTACCCCCTCCAGTACCTCAGAATGTGACTTCATTTGGAAAAGACATGGGGAAGAAAGCCATCTCCAGCCAAGGAAAGAGGCCTAGAGCATTTCTTTTCCCAGAGCCCTCAGAAGGAAGTGACCCTTGGTCTCAGATGCCCTACCTCCACTGCCATGAAAGAATAAATTTCTTTGGTTTAAGTCCCCAGCATGTGCTACAGCAGCACTAGGACACTAATACAGTGACTAACATACATATTTTGAGTTTAAAAACAAACAGCCTACTCTGAAATCCTGTTTTCCTGTCTTGTACCACCTCACCCTGGGCAAGTTCTTCACCTCTTTATGCTTGAGTTTCCCTCTGTGAAATGGAGAGAGAAGGACCAATGCCTTGGGGTACTGTGACAGTTAACAAACGTCAAGTACTTGAAGTGTGCATGGTTGGGAGTTTAGTAAGTGAAGAAGGTGGGGGTGGGCAAGGCTGGGAGGGCACCGTGGTTCTGTTAGGGTTTGGATTTTGAATATCCCCCAAAGGCCCGTGTGTTGAAGGCTTGGTCCCCAGCCTTGGTGCTACTAGGAAGTGGTGGAACCTTTAAAAGGTGGCACTCCTCAGGGAACAGAAGTTAGGTCACAGGTAGTGTGTCCTTGAAGGCATCACTGGGACAATAGCCCCTTCTTCTCTTTGCTGCCATGAGGTGAGTTTTACTCTATCATGTGCTACTCGCCATGATGTTCTGCCTCACCAAAGGCCCAAAAACAACAGAGCCAAGCAATCATTGGCTGAGACCTCTGAAACCATGAACCAAGGTAAAACTTTCCATTTCCAATGTTGATTACACCAACTATTTTGTCACTGTGATGGAAGCTACCTCGGCACCTCTGCTTCCCCCTACCATCTCCTTTCCAAAGACCATTTCCTGCCCTTTTTTTAGCCCCTTATTGTCCCACTTCTCCCTCCTTCCCAAGGGCACTTTCTACCTTCCCCATTCACCTCAGCATCTTCTCACCTTTTGTTTCAAAGTCACTCAAAGCCAGCCCTTGGCTACTCCTTCCTTGGCCAGATGTTTTCCATGACCTCTTGAACCTTCTGGTTCATGACTTCCTCTTCTTTCTGAGCATGTTATTCCGGGAGAGTGTCCTCAAAACAGTTTTGCTGTTCCTCATCCTGCCCGTGTCTTCTCAGATGCCCGTCAATACTCTTTCTCCTTGACTGGCCAGGGCAGTCAGTCATTTATGGCTGCCCCATTTGGGCAACCCAGCCCAATCTCTTAATGCTTTAATGCCTAACTAAAACATACCTGAGAGTCTCTTAGTTCGAAGAATACATTGGAACATACTTTGTCTGAAATCAACTTGATTGATGACTGATTGCTCAAGAGACTTGCACTGTGAACTTGGATAATAAATATTCACAGGATGCAGCTAGACAGCTTAGCGCCATGTGTTGGTGTCTGGATTTCTTCCTCACAGGGTTTAGCAAGTGTGGAAATGCCGTGAGGCAGAGCAGGAGCAGCTGCACAAGACCCAGGTGAGCCAGCCTGGTCTAAGGCATTGATCCCTTCATTCACAGAATTGGGTTTTCAGACAAGGGGAAACTTGGAAAGCCTTCTCTTGGAAATGCACATTAAGAAGAAATGAATGGCAGTGGTAGATTGATTCAGTGATACCAATCTTTCACCCCTCCCTGCACCCATGTTGTTTTGTACAGAGCTCCCTCAGGCTGACTGTGCACTTGACCAGCTTGATGCATTGAGAAGTATGGGAAGTGTTAGATCTCTGCTGTCTTTCTTAGAGCTCTGCCAGTGTCCATGCTAGTCTGCTGAAGGGTTAGAGGCTAGGTGTAGTGAAGCTATCCTAGAGCAGATAGCCACAGGCTGACCACAGATGCATGAACAAACTCAGCTCTGCCAAGCCTGGCCAGGATCAGAAGAACTCCCCTGGGCCAATTCACAGACTCAGGCGATGACTGCTAAATGGAGACTGGTCTAAACAACTAAATTGTGGTTTGCTATGCAGCAGTAGCTAGCTGCCTGCTACTTTGACCCATGTTCCACTTTGCTTTGGACAGTCTTGACCCATGCTGAGCATGGAGCTCATGTCTTAAGCTTCTTATCCAACACTGCTTGAGAAGCCACTGTTGTATTTCTAAGACAAATGCCACATTGGCAATTGGACAGCATCAATTTCCAGGGCTAAAATAAGTCATTTTAATCCGAGTACATTTTCACGGTTTATCAAAAAGTATGTTAGCATGGACTTTTGCATAAAGGGATAATGTTTTCTATTTGCTTGAGGGGCATTCAACATATAGAAGTGAACAAGTCCCTCATTCTATGTGCAACACGAGGCATGGTTTTATTGCTGTGGCATACAGTAGCTGGCTGTGTTGGTGGCAGAGGCAGTGCTCAGCTAATGATTCCTAAATGTGGAGCTGATTTCTTTGGGCCTGAGAACGCTTAGAGGAATTCTTAGCGTGAAATAAAGGCACACTTGACCCAAGAATAAGCCTACTCAGTTCTGAAAGGGCATCCAATTTAACCAGGGTGCACACTGGTAGCGGTCTCACAGCCAGCTTGGTTTCCAAGGTGGCTTTCATTTCAATTTAAGGACTCTGTGAAAAGCCCTATTCCCTAGCAGGTCAAATTTCTTAAATTTTAAAATATGAAGCTGCCTTCATTTACAGATGTTTTACAAAATGTACATGCAACTCTTTCTTGTGCTGCATTCTATGGTATCCTGTGTTCTAGAATTATTGTCTATTGTGTTGAATTTGCAGAGTTGAATTTATCAAATAATCTTCTCTTTCCCAAAAGCAAGTTTCAGCCATCAGTAGTTAAATGACTTGTATTTATTTGGGGGGAAATAAATGTTTTCTATTTAAAAATGAGCTGGTAATTGCTTACTGTTCTTTTGTGGTCTGTGTTCATGAGTAGAGTCAAGGGAAAAAGCCTGTAAGGAGTGTGGGAATCTGGGGGGGGTTGCACAGAGCAGAGCCTCTTGACAGTCCTGGGGGTGACAGCAAAACCACATGGAGGAAGAACTGTGGAGTCAGATGGGCGTTGGTGAGTCTCACATGAGTCTCAACATCTACAAAATGAGCAAGTTTTCACATGAGTTTGAAAATAAATGAGGCAATGTGTATGTACTGTGTAGGCAGCTCTAAAGAAGATATTATTAAACTTGTAAGAGGGCATTTTAGTGAAGTGAATATTAGTATTAAGAAACAAGGATTGCTGGGCTTAGCCTCTTTGGAGGCTGAGATCAGGAGGATCGAGGTTCCAGGCCAGCCTGGGAAAAAAGTTCATGGGACCCCCATGTCGATGGAAAAAAGACTGGGCAGCGGTAACGCATGCCTGGCATCCCCAGGTATGTTGGGAAGCACAGATTAGAAGATTGCAGTCCAGACTGGCCTGGGCAAAAAAGAACCTATCTACAAAATAACTAGAGCAAAATGGGCTAAGGTATGCTTTAGTGTAAAGCCCTGAGTTCAAACTCCAGTACTGCCAAATAATAAAAAAGGCATCAAAAAGAATGAACATGTGGCTAACATAGGGCTCTTTCTAAACCCAGACAAAACCTGTTATTCTATCTTGTTCTATCTCGACTGTAGGCAAAAGCAGAGAATCCAAATTTGGAAGTGCAGAAAGTCCAGCTGTACATGTAGACATTCAAATGAACTGTTTCCAAAACAACAGGTGATTAAAGTAAAGGATTTATTGTAATCTGCTTACAGTCCTTTGCAAAGACAGACATGTTTTTGCATAAAGATATAAATTGCTTCATTTTAAACTAAGTTTTTTTAATTATATGAAGAAGTTTTGGTGAATTATGAGTTGTACCAAACCAAGATTTTTAAGAGCAAATATGGTACAAAAATAAGAGCAGACAGACAATTTGGACTGGGCCAGGCATTCAACAGTGAATTTATAATATGGCTTTGCTGTTTAATCAAGCAAGTTACCCAGAGACACACAAAGAGCCAGTAACTGTTAATACAAAGAGCTGATGCAGATCGTTTCCATCCCAAACCTGGTGAAGTTGAAATTCCAATTTGATTAAAAAAAAAAAAAAAAAGTCAACTCTGAACTCAAAGCTGTTTTTGGAAGCCATTTCTTTTCCAGAAACTCCTAGTCTGCATGCTGTGTATTTATCACCTTCAAAGTGCGGCTTTCAGGTTGCTGTGCACGTAAGTTGACTATATTTAAAGATCTGCCTATAAATTAAGTTCTTGAAGTTGCAAATTATGTAAGAAAAACTCCCTCTGCATGTGGCCTTCACAGGTTTCAGATAATGTTGCCTGTATGGTGAACCCTGGAGAAAAGAAATGATCTGACCCCTGCCTTCCCCGGCCTTTGGCTTGAGTTACAGCTATTAGATTTTAGGAAATAATGTGATTTCACTGAATACCTGAGGGGCATCATCACCACTTAAAAAGATTAATTTGGCCTCCATTCAAAGTAGTGTGTTTGGTGCAATCATTGTGAGTTCCCCTAAAGATACAGAAGGCTGTGATCTGGGGCAAGAGAAAAGACATAAAAATTGTATCAGTGCCAAACAGATTCATGAATTAAAACTTTTAGTGCCACTGTCTTGCTTATATGATCTGTAGTGTTTTTCTCCAAAACTGTTTATGTATAAAATTTCTTTTTAAAACTTACCTTTAAAAAATCTAAAAACCCTCTAGTGATTTTTCTGGTCTCCACGCCATTCTGACTGACCCTTGACAAGATGGATCACCCCAGGACCTCCTGCCATGCTCTGCGTGTTCCCATAACCAGGTCCAGGAATGCAGACCTCTGTCAAGATTAGAGGTGACTGTCTGGTCTCTGATAGACTAGAGTGCATGGAATTGTTTCCTCCCCTCAAAGGAAAAGGTTGGATTTTCTGAAATGGGAGGAGAATTGTGCTCTCTGAGCTGACTTTCCAGCCTCCCCCTCCGAGAGCCTGTGGAAAAGGTGAAAGAGGCAGCTTTCCTACAGCTGCAGCACTGTGAGGACCCTCTGTCCTAGGTGTCAAATGACACCTGTGAGGAGCTGGATGCTGAGCGAGCGCAGGGTGGTGCTCCTGGTACAAGTAGGATGAAGCTAGCTCACTGGACTCCAGTCTCATGAACGCCCCAAGCGGGAGACCAAGAACAAAACAAAAAGTACAGAAAAAGTAGAAAGGCTTAAAGACAACCAAAGAGGTTTAAGTGTGGTTATTTACAACAGAGACTGTAAAATGGTAAATTAGATATGAAGCTAAAAAAAGGCACAGCTTTTCCTTTCTTAAATACACTGTAAACGGTTCATTATGCATGCAGAACATTTCACTTTACAAAAAAAAGTTTTACCTTGTTTAGACAAAGATAGTACTTAAATAGTCTCCAGCAAAATAGAATTCTTTCAAAAATACTTTCCCATTCATCCTATTAACCATTAAAGATTTTTTTTTTTTGTATGTCTCATTTACAAAAGTTCCTTACACCTTATTTCGGGTCCTTCACGATTTATACATACAGTAATGTACAGCACAGCAAAAGACTGCAAAAAATTATTTGTAAAGCCAACACAATAGATACTAGAAATTGAAACCAAGGCATTTGTTTTTAACATCTTATCCATTCTTATTAAATAATAAATGGACACTAACGAGTGTGTATACCAGTGACGTAGAATGGGCCCCTGGAGAGCCACTCATTCCCACGCCACGAGTTCTGTTATTACACAACAGGAATCTGTATCTATTTTTTCTTTTTTTGTGTTTTTTAAATAACAAAAGAATATTAATGCCCCATATTGACTATATGTTTTATGTGCAAACCAAGGGTAAGCTTGAAAATGTTCGTTAATCCTTGAACCCTTTTAAAACAAGCGAACAATACCAGAAACTACATGGCATAGTTAAAACTTCCATCTGTTAAAATATCAAAATCAGAGTTATTGACTAGATATGGCTTTTCATCCAGAGGGACAGGAGCGTGTTTCTAAGCACTGGGGAGTAGAGAAGGAAGAACCCTTTAGACTGCTCAGGTCTTGATGAATCCAAGCCGTATGGCTTTCCCAGCTCCAACCCCGGGACATGATTTTAAACTTGAGAAACTGCTGAACAAGTGTGAATCAACCATCACGTTAAAAATAGGATTTCCTGGGTCCTTCATGGGTATGGAACAACATGGGGAAACTTAAGGCAAAGTTCTTCTGGTAAGACATCCTCTGTCACTTCCTGTGAAAGTAAAGAGCCTTGGCGTTCCCGGACTCCACCTTTGGCAGCTGGTCACTGATGATCTCCACCAGCATGGCGGGGAACTCCACTTTCAGGGCCTGGGACTCCCGGAACGTGTAGAAGCAGAATTCTAATAGGTCACTCACCAGCTGCAACACACAAAGAGGAGACATGACACAGGGACTCACTGCCATCTCGACCCCTTTGCATCCTCACTCTGCTGTGAATGAAGACAGCAACATTCAGAAGTTCTGCCAGGAACCCGCAGCTTAATTAATTTAAGCCAAGTCTTCAGGAGGGACGAAGAAGGGTGCCCATGTCACCTGTCATGTAATATACCTGATCAGGCAAAACAAATGCAGCCAGGAGCTGTGTAGCTGCCAAGTACTGAATAGAGCAGAGGTACGTGGGACGGTCACAGAATTAATAGTGCCTTGGTCACTGACCTGCTTTCATCCAGTCCTAATTCCTAAATATGTGAACTGGTTGAGACGGACAGATATATTCATATGCTGGCAGAGGGCCTTCACAGGTAGCCACTGGCTCAAGGCTCACACACTACAGACTCCCCAGGACGGGGGAGAGGCAAGACAGAGCTTCTCCCTGGCAGGTGTGGTGTGTCTCTTAGTCAGGCTGGCCAGTGGAGCTGTGGCCAAGCAGGTAGGTAGTCACTTCCCCCAGCAGCCTCTGGACTTTCTACTGGCTTCCCACTGTGAGCTGGGCTGGCCTGAGATTCCACCAACATGTAGGTGGTGGAGGGTTTAGAGGACAGAGCCTTCCTGGAGGTGTTTAGGTCATTGACTTTTCTCTCTCACTCCCTGGCCATTAGGTGAGTGGTTCTGCTCTGCTCTGTATTTTTACTATGCTGAGTTGCCTCACCACAGGCCTAAAAGCAACAGAGCCAACTGTAACCAAACTAACCCTTTTCTCTTTATAAGTTAATGACCTCAGGTATTTGTTTCAGTAACAGAAAGCTGAGTGACATGCCTGTTATGGGAAAAATGACTTTTGGTCATTTCCTACTGTACCACAGCAGACAGCTGCTCATCAGAAAGTAACTCTGTGGTCATTCTGGTGAAACCAGATCTCTAGTTTCGTTTATGATTTTTAGAACTCAATTAGCAAGTTAAAAATGAGTCAGATAGTAAATAACCAGGAATCAAGAAAATCTCATCAGGTAAAATATGGTGCTTCTGTTTGTGCATGTGTTCTGCTCTTAGCCTGAAAATGATGGTACCCTAAGCAGGTGCCAAAGACTCTGAGATTCTGTAAGTGTTCTGAACCCACAGAACCTACAGAACAGGAGGTTGGAACCAAACAAGCTGGGAGACAGCATAAGCCACCATCGTGGACACATCACCATGCACTATCCCTCAATCTCTTCATCTGTAAAGTGGGGACACCAGCCCCTGAGCCTCAGAGTGTTCAGAGGACTAAACACAAACCCCACTGCTTCAAACCTCATGCTGCCTGGAGCAAGATGTCAAATTACAATTCAAGATGCTGCAAAGTGCTGCTGGAGCAAAGCCTCTAACTTGGTCCCTCTCACCTCCTTCTCCTGTCCCGCATCATTTTCTTCTCTGGATCATCTTTGTGGACCTTGGTGTTCAGGTCTCCTTTCTATAAAATGAGGCTTGAAAGAACCTAATTTTATGCCTTCTCAGGTAAAATATCCTTCAAGAAGCATATCACCCATTTGTTTTATTCTTTCTAATGTGGCAGGCCAGTGGCCACCAAAGTGAAGGCTACCACAGGTGTGCTTTTTATACACGGTGCCACCATTATGTCAGCCACACCAACTATGGGGTGTGATACACTTTAATGAGCCTCAGAGTCCTGCACATTTGCTATGGGGTTCAGCATTCTCCCCTAACCCCTCTAGGCCTGTGAAAGAGGACTTTTTCCTTTAAAAATTTTACAGCAAGATGGCTGACAGGAAGTACCTGGTTTGTTCCCCAACCAGTGACCGCAACAAGCGTAAAACAACAGCTATTTCCTTGGAGTGCTGGACTGGGGATGTGGCCAGAGACATTGAGTCGCACAGAAACAGGTGATGGGGAGCTAAGCACATAGTGTCTCCTGTGACATCTCTTGAGATCAACCCTGAGCTAAGAGGGAGTTAGTGGGGTAAAGGTAAGCAGGAAGCCACTGGCTAATCCCTCTTGCACCAGACACTCCTGAGGCAGCCACTGCTAGAGAACGCTGTGGCCATTGCCGGGCCTGAGCCTGACCTGTAGAACTGTTGGGTTACTACACCCATTGTACTGCCCCGAAGAAATGACCCGTCCCATGCTGTGCCCTACTCCATGCAGGCCATAGCTGCAGGAGCCATCTGGACATCCCTACCAGATTCAACCAAAAAAAAAAATTCTTTTGGAGGCATACTATACTCAAACTGTGAAAAGTACAAAACAAGATGGTTGAATACAGACACCCAGCACTTGCTTCCTTCCCCTCAAAGAAAACCTAAAGTCATAGGTGTAGAGCTGCATTTTGAGGTGAATGACCATGGGAGAACACTGGAAATCATTAACAGAGAGACTGGAACCTTACAGGACCTGGGATAACAGCATAGAGAGAGAAACAAAATACCCTGGTACCTGCCACCCCAGCTCCACAGCTGGGGAATAGGTTAAGAGAACCTCAGTAAGCATGAGCACAGCTGCTAGCAGTGCTAACAACTGGAAACTTTCACTGTCCCCAAAGTGAGCACAGGCTTATTGCATTCTTAGACAACACCCCAAAGTCTGCACAGTAGCCTGGCTTTGGAAAAGGAATTCACTTCATTGCCCAGAGAGCCTTAGGATGCTGTAGCTAGGGGCCATCTTAAGAAGGGACTTACTGTCTGCATTTGGACTGCTCCAGGGGTCAGAAATTCCTGAATATTCCATCTCTGGGGTCCCATAGACATTCTACTGCACTGATGGGGGGGGGCTGCACTGTGGTATGTATTATGTCCAAAGTCATTAAAGAAGCTGTTGGGGAAGACTACTGTAGTGTCAAGATAGACTCAAAGATAACACTGCATAACAAACTAACATCCCAAGACACATTTTCAGAGGGAAGCTGCTTACTAAGCAAGCCACCCCATAAAAGTGATAGAGATACCTGACCCAGCAAATGTGCAAATATTAATGTAGAAATGCAAGAAATATGAAAAATCAAGGTAATGTAATGCATCCAAAAGAACATAACTACTCTCTAGCAACACATGCCAAAGAAATACAAATGGATGAAATATCTGATAAAGAATTTAAAGGAATGATTGCAAAAACACTCAATGAAATCCAAGAGAATACAGTGAAAATAGTGAAATGATATTGGAGACACAATGCAAAAGTGGATGAGAAATTCAGCAGCGAGATATGGATTTGTATCTTGCAAATGCAGAACTCAGTAAGTCAAACAAAAAGATATAGGTGAAAGCCTCCACAACAGACATTGTCAAGTGGAAGGAAGAGAGGAGATGTTTTGAAATACCCAAGTTAGACAAAAGAAGGAAGGAAAAAAGTGAGCATTAAAGACTTCTGAATCACCAATAAATGAACACACATCTGCATTTTTTGAATGCCTGCAGACAAGGAGAATACAGTTAAGGGCATAAAAAACCTATTCAATGAAATAACTGCAGAAAATATTTCTAATCTGAGGAATGATATGGACATTAATGTACAGAAGGAGGTTTATAGGACCCCAAATAGACATGAACAGAAAAGATCTTCACCACAGCATGTTGTCATCAAACAGGCAAAATTACAGGATGAAGAAGGATTTTAAAAAAAAATCTGTAAGATAAAAGCACCATATGACATTTAAGGATATCACCATTACATTAACATCGGATTTCTCTGCAGAAGCCCTACAGGCCAGGAGAGAATGGAACCATGTATTCCAAATCCTGAAAGAAAATAACTACCAACCAAGATTACTATGCCCAACAAGGTTCTCTGTCCTTCAGAGACAAATAACATGTGCGAATAAAAATAATTTTAAAAATTAATGAACCCTAATAAAAATGTGAGCAATGGGGTAGAAGAAGAATTGATGTCCTCTGGCTCCCTGGCTAATTTTTAAGGAAACAGGAAAGGAAACGATGTCATGCGTGAGGTCAGCATCGATGGATGCATGAAGAGGATGACTTGTGGATTAAGATCTTGTTTCTTCCCATAATCCCTGTTGTCGGCGAGCCTTTACCTCTGGACACGAACAAGGCCTAACTTCAGAGATGTGAAAATTCTGACCCCAAGGCCAAGTCATCCTAGTGATACTTGTATTGCTATAGAACGTAAGATGGCTAGCTTCAGGTTAGATTTTTTGAATATACTTTTATTTTAATTGACATATAGTAATTATATATATATTTATGGCATACAGTATGACATTTCAATATGTCTATACAATGTGCAAGGATCGGATCAGGGTAATAGGCATGTTATCATCATTCATCATTTCATTGTGCTGGGAACATTCAAAATCCTTTCCACTAACTAGGTACTTGGAAATACTCAGTTAATCGTTCTCAACCATAGTCCTGCATCCTCTTGACCTGATGTATTACATTGATAGATTTGTGTGTGTTGAACCATCCCTGCATCTCTGAGATGAACCGCCCTGGATTATGCTGAGTGATCTTTTCCATGTGCTGTTGAATTCAGTTTGCTAGCATTTTTTTGAGAATTTTTACATCTTTGTTCATCAGGGATATGAGTCTATAGTTTGTTGTTGTTGTGCCCTGTCTGGTTTTGTTATCAGGATAATATTGGCTTCCTAGAATGAGGAAACAGTGAGCACAACAGAGTACACCCTCAGGCTTCTCCATTCTGCTTTAGCAAGCAGCAACCCTGCCCATGGGGAGTCAGGTGCTGGGAAGGAGAGAGATGGCAGGGGGGGCTGTTTTAGGGTGCTGGACAAAGGAGCTCTCAGAAAAGTGACCTGAAGGAAGTGGGAGATGAGCTTTGTGGCTATCCGGGGAACAGCATATGTGGGGTTACTTAGCAAGTTCAGGAGCAGCAGGAAAGCCTGTAAGCTGACCCCTGACATCTAGAACAAGTTGCCTGGCAGGGCCAGGGACATATAGGGTTTGTTTGCATATAAGTGACAGCAAACAGATTGCTATGTCCTATGAGAGATGAACTGAGTAAGCCAATTC